CGAGATGCTGGGCGGGGAAGGGTGTGGGAGGCCGCGGGAGCCCCCCGCAGGTCGATTCAATCGCCAAAAGCAGGACCGTGGCCTTCTCCCGCGTCTGTAGGCTTCCTAAGGGGTCGTCCTCCGCTGGACGAGGACTTAGAACGTGTGGTTGAGGTTGCTGGTGAGGCTGGCTGTTTGGGAAAACCTTGCAATGCTTAGCGGGCAAAAAGAGTTTTCTGGCTAGCTAGCATCATTCCGTGGCCACCCTGGGGCCTGAGTCGCTCTGTGGCCTGATTAACTTGGCAGAAAATTGCCTCCCTGGGTATTGTTTTCATGGGGCTGGTGAACAGGCCACTTCTGAACTTGAAGCCCATGCCTTGATAGTAACTCTGTTTGCCCAAGCCTTGACATCGGCTCTGAGTCTTGAGCTGGATTTGATGTCCGCTGTTGGCGGCTGAATTTGCGCACAGCATACAGCTCACAATTTACGGGGGATTCGGACGGTTCGTGATGGCTGTGCTTGCCATTCCGGGTTGGTGCGCCCGCTAAAGCCCCGATCCGATTGCGTCAGGAGATACCCCCGACTTGGAAAAAGAGTGAGTGTGTTGCAGATGTGCTCTGAGTTGATTAGTAAATAGTTGTGGAGGGCAATTTGAAATGCTTTGATGGATCGCCAGATATTTCCTGAGTGATTGAAAAGTTTATGTACATATATGTTCGTATCTGATTGTGGTATGGACGCAAAATGGTCTGACAAACTCATGAGGAGGTAATTAGACTGCTCATTGTCCGTTGTACTTGCGGCTATCGTTACCGTTATGGTTGTTTATGTTGTCGTTATGATGACAATGCTGTTGGCGTCATCACTGCCGCCGTCAACTTTTTTTATCGTATGCGGTCGTTTTTGCTGCTACTGCTGCTGCTGAGGAGCCTGCTGGTGTTGCCAGCAGGTCAGCAACTACAAGTTTCGGCAGTTGTGAGCTGTTACTAACAGATGATGTGATTTTGTAAAAATGGAGTTGTGTCACGGTTTGACATGGTTTCGGCTCGCAGACAGAGGAGAGCATGACTGTGTTGAAGCGCAGAGCATACCCAGCAACATTAAGTTTGACATGTGCGTTTTGATATTAATGATCAGATCAAGCTGAACACGTTAATGGGGCCGATCACAAAGCGTCTCATCATTTGGATTTGTTCCAACTTTCCTTTTTCGCGAATGGCGGCTCAATCGCCTATTGCCCGCTTTTTTACACCTGCCCAGAAGGTGGTACAAGAGCATGCAGCCTCATTGACAAATTCCCCACCCCAGACACCGGGGCCAAGAGGAGGCGGAAGGCATGTAGCTCAGCAGAGTGCCTTGGTGGTAACTAGGTCTACGACATTTCACTCCAGATAAGGTTCATTCATGTTGTGAGCATGGGGCCAAAGTGAGTGGCATGATGATTGCGTGCATTCAGGTTGGAAGGACGACGAGATCAGCACGCCCCCTTCAATACAGTCGCGGAAGCGTTGCTTGAAAGTTGACCCGGTCAGCGATGCAAAAAAAGTCAAGCAAAATGTGCCCACAAAGGATGACACCTCTTGCCCAGACCCCTGCACTGCCCATGCTTTGCCTGCAAGTTGCGAGACGCCAAAGCGCGTCCAGGATGGGCCCAAGGACCTTCGTGCTACGCTGCAGCTAGCAGAGCGATCTGCGCCGGGTTCGATCCCACCTTTCACAGCTGAATGCTTTCACCACTTTGAAAACGGCGGCTTGCAATACAGTTGGCCTACTTGGCTACGGCCAGAAAACCTCAGAGATAGCCAGGGCTTGCGCCCAACAGAGCCGGGGTACAACCAAGGCACGCTTTGGGTGCCTGATCCTATCAAGGAGAAGGGAGAATACCAGAAAGCACAAGGCCACAACACTCCGATGTTGATGCAATTCTGGAAGTTAAAGGCGAGACATTTTGACAAAGTGGCTCTTTTCAAGGTCGGCAAGTTCTACGAGATTTTTTATTATGATGCCTTCATTGCTCAGCGAGTTTGCAATTTGAAGTGGATGAGCCAAGAGAAGAAGCCACATGTTGGTTTTCCTGAGATGGCCAAACACGAGTATGCAAAGCGCATTGTGGAAGCTGGCTTCAAGGTAGTAGTGGTGGAGCAGGTCGAGCGTGTTGTGGAAACGAACCAACGCAAAAGCGATAAAGAGGGGGGCCCAAGCTGCGTTGAAAGGGATGTGTGTGAAGTTTTTACGAATGGCACTTTGGTCGACCCAGAATTGTTGGCAGGACCAGGCTCGCGATTTCTAGCATACCTTTGCTTCGAAGGGAGTGCCCAGAAAAGCCTGGACTTTGCAGCATGCTTGGTCGACTGCGCCACTTCCCAGATCCAGTTAGGCCATTTCGTTGATGCGCCTGATCGCAACAGGCTGCGGACCTTGTTGGCACAGCTGCAGCCAAGTGAGGTCGTGTACGATGCGGCAAACTTGCCCATGGAAGTTCTGCAACTCTTGAAACGACTGCCATGCCGGCCGCAGTTATCACCCCGGTGCGTTGGAGACTGCGGTCTCCTGGGCGCACGAGACAAAATCAACAAGTACCGGACAGCACATCCAAAAGCATTCACCTCAGCGGTGGAGGAAGTGCTTGCGCAGGACTTTTCTTGAATAGATCTGTGTAGTAGTGGTCTGAGCAGTTGTGTGTTTCGTTTGCAGCACTGCAGGACAGCGCGATTATGGCAGCAGCCGGCGTTATGGGATACCTGGAAGCTGCTCTCTTGGCAGAAAGACTGCTTCCGTTTGCGCTTTGGGATGTCTTAGCTACGGCTGCAACAACTAGGGCGAGCTCCCAACGCATGATTCTGGATGCCACAGCCCTCTCTGCTCTGGAAGTGGTGGAGACGCTGGAAGGTGGGTATGAGGGATCCCTTCTGTCCTTTTTGGATCACACCAGCACACCCTTCGGGTTTCGACTCCTCAAGCAGTGGATATGCGCTCCACTGCTTGATCTGGAGGATATCCAATCGCGCCAAGAGGCCGTGGAATTCTTCCTGAAGAATGACGAGCTTTCCAAGCAGCTGAGTGCATCTCTCAAGAAGTGCATCGCCGCTGGGAAGATCTCAAAGCTTCCAGTGGATCTAGAACGGGCAACCTCCAGGATTTGGAGCTATGCCTTGCAAGCAGAGCGCAAGGCAGTAATGTATGATGACATTACAGCAAGGCGCCTAGGACACTTTGCAGAGCTCATGCAGGCGTACGAGCAATGCTTCCAACTATTGAGCACAGCATTTCCCTCGAACGGATCCTTGCCAGGCCGACTGGCAATGATTGCAAGGACACAAAAGTCTGGTGGGATTCTGCCAGACCTCATGCCTGTGATTTCAAAGCTACGGGGAAGCATGATCGAAACAACGGCTGCAAACGGCTCGGTCAAGTTCCGGCCCCGGGATGGAGCAGATTCTGCCTACGACCAGAAGACTCGTCAGATCAATATGATCAAATCTCAACTTGATCAGGAGCTGCAACAGGTCAGGAAAGCATATCCGAAGGTACAATTTGCATTTGTGCACCGTTTGCCTGGCTATCGGTATGAGGTGGAATGTGACGAGCACTCCATGTCTGCCGCGACAGTGCGGAACCTTGACATCACTGCAAGGCCCAAAGGCAAGATCCGTTTCCACACGCCCCAAATCAAGGAGCTCATCGCACAGCTTGATCAGTTGGAAAATGAACAAGAGGATTGCATCTTCCCCTTTCTGTCCAAGCTCTTTCGCGAGTTTCATGCCCACCAAGCGCCCTTCCGTGCACTTGTGCGTTGCGTTTCAGAGGTGGATGCCTTGCTCTCATTGGCAGCTGCATCCCGAAGCTTGCCGGGGGCTTCTTGCAGAGCGGAGTTTGTGGCTTCAGATAATGCAGCCGCTGCAAGCATCGAATTGCGGGCTTGCAGACATCCGGTGGTTGCTGCAAAGATGGGCAGTGCCTTTGTTCCGAATGATACGGTGCTCAACGCCTGCGGAGTGCCAGGTCTGCTAATTGTCACAGGCCCAAACATGGGTGGCAAATCCACAGTGCTCCGCCAGACCTGCATTGCCATCGTCATGGCACAGGTAGGCTGCCGGGTGAATGCAACTAAATGCAGGCTTAGTCCCGTAGATCGCATCTTCACCCGCATTGGTGCCTATGACGCAGTTCTGGAGGGCAAGAGCACGCACCTTGGGTTGCATCTTCCATCAATCTTCGGCCGAAGGCAGGCATGCGGACAGACTCGACCCTTGCATCTGAGGCTACTGACGGAGTTGGAGGACAGAACTTGCTGTGAATTGATGCTGTTTGCAGGCCTTGGTACGTGTGAGTGGAGCTGTTTGTAGGAGACGGCGGCTCTGCTGATGCATGGAACGCCCCGGTCCTTGGCTGTTCTGGACATCTCCCGAGCGAGTCCAAAGCTCCTAATGCTACTAAGTTGAAGTTAGCAATGTGCAGGACGAGCTGGGCCGCGGAACCTCTACGTTTGATGGGGCAGCTATCGCATCGGCCGTGCTGGATGAGCTGAAATCTCAAGTGCGATGCCCCGTGCCACGGACGATAGAAGCCTTGCAACGCTTGAGCCTCCTCGCTAGCTCAATGGAATGGTAGCTCCCAGCATCCAGTTGTGGAACTGCAGCAGTCAACTTCGGCCTCCTGAGGTGCTCTTTGCGACACACTATCACCCAGTTTCCCGAAAGGCCGCCGAGGACACGGCCTGCGTGGCTCCCTTTCACATGGCTGCGGCAGTGGACGAAAACACACATGAGATGACCTTCCTCTACAAGTTCCTTCCTGGTTTGTGTCCGTCCTCACACGGCCACAACGTTGCCAAGATTGCTGGCTTGCCCGAGCCAGCGGCTTGACTTGACTGAATGACAAGTGCATGCTATCACAGGCAGAGCTACAGACTCAGTTTGTTGTCTTCTTGTTATCCAAGGTTTTGGCAGAGGCCCGGGCTCGTTCTGCTGAGTTCGACAGTGGGGTGGCGCGCATCAACGAGGTGCCGGGTAGAGGGCGGAAGGACGAGTAGCGAATATTATGCACGGTATAAAAAACCTTGCCAATGAAAGTCTGCCAGCTCAGACAACATGTAGCAACACGTTTTGTGCTGCTTGCAAGTTGTCAGTAGCCTGGACCCTCGTACGCTGAGGTCGAACAGCTGGTTCAGCTAGCTGCCCAAAGAAATGTGGCCGACCTGAAGGACGAGTTGGACGGAGCTTACAGGGCCAGCACATGCTTTAACTAAGGCCGTTGTCTAAGGAGGCAGAATTTCCTTCTACAACTGGAGGTTGTGCCATAGATGGCTACTGTCTGGGCGAATTGCGTGTTGAATCATTCGGAAGCCTTCACGTAGTTGAGCCTGGTACTTGCTGTGTCCAGGAGCTCTTCAGACAGCGCCAGAAATCCTCGTAGCGCAAGTGGCTGCTGAGCAGAGGGGTCTTTGTCCCAATCCATCTTGGCATTGGGATGCATGTTTCACACAGGGGGACACTAAAGCACGATGATGGTGCAAATCAGGGGTTGAAAAGCTTTGTCATTTCA